CACCTGAGGACATGCTTATTGGTTTTAGAGGGAGGGGTAAGGAGGGGGAGAGAGAGAGGAAGAGAAACATCCACTAGAGACAAACATTGATAGGTTGCCTCTCACATGCACCCCGACTTGAAACTGGAGCTGCAGTCTTTGTATGTGCCTTGAGTGGGGACTCCATCCATGACCTTTTGGTTCATGGGATGATACTCCAGCCAAATGAGCCACCTGGACAAGGCTTCTCAGATATTTGAAAAGGAAAGTGGCTCATTTAATTGGAAGACCTGACCATAAAAATCCTAGAAGAAAAAAGGCAGTAAAATCTTGGATATTTATTCTAGAAATATTTTTGCTGGTATATCTCTTCAGGCACATGAAGCAAAAGGAAGACTAAAGAAATTGAACTCCATCAAAAAGAAAAGTGTTTGCAGAGCAAAAGAAACCTTCAAGAAAACAAAAAGACCACCCACTAAATGGGAGATGACATTCACCAAAGATATATCTGAAAAGGCATTAACAATGTCGAAAAGCTATAGAGAATTCAGACAGTTAAATACTAAAACTAAGAATAGGGCAAAGGACCTGAGTACACACTTCTCCAAAGAGGACCGACACAAAGCCAATAGATATAAGAGAAGATGCTCAATGTCACTAACTGTTAGAGAGATGCAAATGAAAACCACAGGGTCAATCACCTCACACCTGTCAGAATGGCTATCATCAATAAATAAACAAACAACAAGTGCTGGTGAGGACACAGAGAAAAGGGAACCCTCCTGCAGTGTTGACAGGAACGCAGACTGGGAATGCAGCCACTGTGGAAAACAGTATAGAGTTTCCTCAATCAATGAAACATGGAACTGCCTTATGACCTAGCGAATTCACTTGTGGGAATATATCCAAACAAGCCTAATACACTAATTTGAAAGGATATAGGTAGGGTCAGGCACAAATAGTATTACCAAATTATAATTAGAAAACCTCTTATTAAAAAATCATAAGCAGGTATTTCTGTAACATAACAATATCACACTCAAGCACAACACGTGACATTTTAAGTGAAATGTTCAAATTAAAACTACAGATTATGACACACATATCATTACCCTACCAAACACATTTCTGTCAGAACCTGTGTATGTACCCGAAGATCATTACACTGTTGTTTACAATTGAGAAAAACTGGAGGCACCCTAAGTGTCCATCAGCAGATGAGGGGACAAAAAAGCTGTGGTACATTTACACCATGGAATACTACATGGGCACAAAAAAAAGAAGAAAAGTCTTTCCCTTCGTGTCAGCATGAATGGACCTGGAGAGCATTATGCTAATTTAATTAAGTCACTTAGAGAAAGAAAATACCATAGGATCCCACTTATATGTGAAATCTAATGAACACAATAAACTAGCAAACAAAATAGAAACAGACTCATAGATCCAGAGAACAGACTGACAGCTGTCGGGGGGGGGTGGGGCCTGGGGGAGAAAGGTGAAGGGTCAACTTCCCCAGCATCCTCTCCCACCACGTCCAGTCCCCCCTTGCCCACTCAGCTCTGTCACACTTGTCTCGTGCTGCTTGCTGCCACTGCAGTCATCCTCAGCTGAGTGGTTCAGAAGCTACAACAACATTCGTGGGAAATATTTCAAGAACTTCAGAAGGGATTTTAATCTTGCTCTGTCAGAAGTGATCATAACCCAAGAATAAAGGTAAAGTCTGAGTAATGCTCAAAACATTTACCTCTAGAACCATTTAAACATTTTCTAGTACATGTCCTTCATTTGAAACGTTAAGATATTTTAGGACTTTTTACATAGTTTCCTGTTGCACCACACCTTTCCCTAACTTTTCCCCTTTGCTACTAAATCATTTCACCAAGGAATTTAGAGTTTCTTTAAGCTTTAATTGCATTCACCACACAACTGATGAGGCACGTTCACATGACTCTGCAGCATTTTCTGTATTAAAATGTCAGTCACTTCAGAAGGTCTCTCATAGGGCATTACTTTTACTGTGCTGTTTCCAACTACCACAAGGTGATAAGAAGTCAAATATCTAAGTACATGAGCCAGAAATACAATTTTCTGACATTTAATTTCTTCTCCGTGTAATATTCGTGGCTTGAAAATAATGAGAATCACTTTAAAAAAAGACTAAAAATTCTAATAATTTAGTTGTCCCATTTCAACTTCAACAGCTGTGTTCTTCTCTGGTACTTTATCCTATTTTCAGAGCTAGAAGTTGAACAATTACTATCTGTATATGAAACTTCTAATCGGGAAAACCGTCTGAGTTTTCCCTTCACCTGGACCTCACCTGCAGCACCCTACACAAGGCGTCCTTCACCTGAGCATTTCTCAGGCTGTAGATGAGGGGGTTCAGCATTGGGTTAAAGAGACTATAAAAGAGGGATAGAATTTTAGTCTTCTCTCCTTGTTGACTGGAGTCAGGGACCATGTAAACCACCATGGCACAGCCAAAGAAGAGCCCGACCACACAGAGGTGGGAGGAGCAGGTGGAGAAGGCCTTCCTGCGGCCCTCCCCAGACTGGATCTTCAGGATGGCCCAGAGGATGTGTGTGTAGGAGACCAGCACCAAGCAGAAGGGCCCGAGTATTACCAAGATAGTAGCAGTGAAAATGACCACTTTGTTGAGCCAGGTGTCAGCACAGGCCAGCTTGAGGACAGACAGGATCTCACAGAAGAAATGGTTTACTTCCCAGGGCCCACAGAATGGCAGCCTTAGAAGAAGAAGCACGTGTATCACAGCCAGAAAAAATCCACTCGCCCAGGAGATGGTGGCCAGGACTGTGCACACAGTCCAGCTCATGATGACAGTATAGTGGAGGGGGTGGCAGATGGCCACATACCGATCATAGGACATTGCCACCAAAATCAGACACTCTGTGTGGCCTAATCCTATATACACAAATGTCTGCATGATGCATGGGACAAAGGAGATGGCTCTATTCTGGGTCACTAAGTTTGCCAGCATCTTCGGGACAGTGTTGGAAGCATAAGACATGTCCATGATGGCCAGGTGGGAGAGGAAGAAGTACATGGGGGTGTGTAGTCTCTGGTCCAGACAGATGAGTGCAAAGATCATGCCATTTGCCAACAGACTGAAGGTGTAGAACAGGAAGAAGACCCAGAAGAGGAGAACTTCTGCCTCTGCGCTGAGCTGGAATCCCAGCAGCACAAACTCTTTGGCCCATGACCAGTTGCCCTTCATTCCTTACAGAGACCTGGTCAAGAACTGAATTGTGATAAAGGTCTGGGCTAGAGAATCAATACAAAGTGGAGTTAATCTGAATGTGAGGTCAGAGAAAGGTTGTATCCTTGTCACTCCATGAAAGCTTCCCCTTTTTCCCCAAACAGGTTACCTGTGTTTAACTTTAATATGAAATAAATTTAAACTTATAGAAAACACTCAGGAATTATGCAAAAACTCCAATATAACCATATGCCCAGATTTAACAAATTGTACTATTTATTTCATATTTACCTTATAATTCTTTGTCTCTGTATTATTGTGTATGAGTATTGCTTCCTTCTGAAGCAGTTGAAATTAAAGTATGAATAGACATGATACCCATTTACCCTTAAATTCCTCTTTCTTCCACCAAAAACTAGGAAATTCAGTAATCTGTCCACAATTATCAAAATCAGGCAATTTGATATTGACATGATTGTTTAAGCTATAATATTCTCTCTCTACTCGCCTCAGCCAGGACCCAATCCAAACTGACATATGAGATTTAACATCATTAATCTTTAGTCTCCTTTCATCTGAAATAGGAACCCTGTCTGCCTTTTCATTCATGATCACTGAATCTTGGAAGATTGTAGAGAAGTTTTTCACTACAATATTATCCATATGGAACTGCATACAACTCCTCATTTTTTAATCAGATTATTCCCTTTCTACAGGGAAATTTAGCATCTTCCCCTGTGCTTCATTGGCAGGTGCATGAGGCTCACTGTTCCATCACTGGCGACACTCACTTGGATCGCCTGGTGAACATGGTGGCCCCCGAGTGTCTCCATTGTAGAATCATTATTTTTATCTCTCATGCAATTTCTGGAGCAGCCATTAAAGTTACTATATAATATTCTCTTCCTCATAGACCTTCTCAGCCACTAATTTCAGTGCCTGTTGATTATCTTGCCTGATTTGATTGTCAGGAGTGATTATTGTGAAACGTGGTGTTCTTACTCTATCACTGCTGGTACATTTACTGGTTGTCAATTTCATTGTGAGGAAAGGCTCGATCATCTACCTACCTATCAATCAATCTTCTATATATCTTTATACGTCTGCATCTGTCATCTGTCTATCGGTATGGACTCATGAATTTTGTAATGAAGAAATTATAATTATTTCTTTTTTTATTTATTCATTCCTAATTATCCTAGAACTAAACCCACCAAGCTTGCCCTTGTGTTTCTAACACATCCCCATAGTTTTGGAGCACTTCCTCACTTCTGATGGCTGTTTCACACTTTTCTCTTACATTCCCCACTTCAGCCTCGGGCACAGACACTTCTCCAAAAGGGTCTGATTACTTTAGGGAAGAGTCATACTCTTACCAGTATTTTAATCTCAATAATTTACACTTTATCATGACTTGTCACATTTCTGATGTCCTCTTTTTAAACAGCAAGCATAAAATTTGGCAAGGAATACAAACTGTTCCTGGGATAACACATTTACATGTTTGTAAACATTGAAAACAGCTTAATGACTTCCCTTTTATGGAGTCAAATCTATTTCACTAAATTAACATTAGTATTAAAGAATATGGTTGACAGTATTTAGTAGTTTATTTTTAGGCAAAATATAGATTTGTAACTAACAACTTATTAATTACCAAGTTCATATCATTGTTTTATTACTACTCAGAAAACCATAGAGTTCGACAATTTAAAGATTAAAGTTGAAGAATATGGGTCATTGTGTGACTATGGTGGTTCTTACCTTGTATGAGCTATTGACATCAAGTTTCAAAACATTTTTAGAAAACCATTATGAAGCTCTATTTAAGTGTAAAGAGGTAATACCCTGAAAAAAAACCCAAAAAAGCATTATTAAAAGTGTGTATATATAGTAATTCCATTTACTGTACATTTTCATATGTATTATGAATATAAATAAATCTATTAACCAATGTTGTTAGTTACCTTACTTCTTTCATTTAGAAACATATCAGAAACTATTTCTTATTTCAAAACATCTATGCAACATGGTGTGAACAGCTGCACACTATTTCCTTGAATATAAGTATGTTATTTATTATCTCATTATATTGGTAGAATATTCTATTTCAGTGAGTAAATTTTAAACTCATGAATTTTTCCAGTAACTTTTCAGATCTGACAGTGCTCAGTGAGATCAGGCACACAATTTACTTCTCTGTGTTCAGGTATCGCTCTGTCTCTAGTCATCTAAAGATCAAACAACAAAATCCCAGCAGCAGGGAGACTCAGCTCTGTCAGTAACCGCCCAGTGGGAAGGGTGTCTAACTGCACAGTCCTGACTCCCTTACCCCTGAATTCACCTCTGCTGTGAGGTTGTTTCATTTGTGTGGCTGCTCTTACCACGCTGGCAGAGAGGGGACGCTGGTTCTTTCCTCACACTCAGATGACAGCCTGCTGGTCTTCACCTTCCTGCAGTTCACTCTTCTCTCAGGTGGATGGTAAATGCTCCACAGAGCTTAGAACAACCTGACTTCCAATGTGTGCAGCTGTTTGGTCACCAGGCTGAACATTCTTCTTACTCTAATTTTAACTGTCACCTGAGCTATTTATCCTCTTATTTGAAGAACCGATGTATCTTGTGTGACATTATCTCATGTCCTTCCTCCTCCACCTGAGGTTCCACATGGTCCATGGAAAAGAACTGACCCCAACACCACATTTGGATTTCCTCTTAGACGTCTTTATATCTACATCATGAACAATAAGAGACATGTACTAGAAAAGCACACTCAGAATTTGATCCTTCGAAGAAACAGACAAAATTTTAGACTTTCATTTTCATAAATATGAGTATGGTTGGGAAGGTTCTATGTAAATGTGCATTAACTTTGTCACATTAATTTTTCCACAATTAAAGATATTGCTGTGTTATGGAAAGTGAGAGAAGCCACATCAGTATTGCCAAATTCTACTCAAACACAGTTGGACACAGCAAGTAATGTTTGAAACGTATTTCATCTCTGAACATGAAGAATAATCATTTTGTTGAACGTAACTCAATGTATTACCAGTCTGTAGGAAATTTGTTTACTAACTTTTTAGTTTTGTCTGTATCCACAAATGAATTATTTTATTTTAGATGTACTTATTTTATTTTTATTTACATTACCAAAGAATCCTTTTGCAATGAAAAATTAAGCAACGTGAAAATAAAGTAGGAGACATTAAATCTCTTAGGCAGACACACAGTGGAACACAGAAGAAAACATAACAGTGAGAACAAAACACTAGTGACACACATACAAAGGTTCTCGAGGTTGGCACAAGCACCTCTTCACCTGGGAGGTCATGTGACTCCGAGTTTCTTCAGCTCTGGAGCTGTGTCCCACTTCCCCAGCTCTGCCCAGGAGTCTCCCACTCATTGTGTCCGATTGGATGATAGTGGATATATTTATATCACACACTGTGAGTTCCAATCTGACAATCATCACCATGAGCTGGTAACCTGGGATGGTCAGGAAATAAAGTAACTGTATGGTAAACTGACATTTTAAATGGTTTCAGTATAAATGATTTACTGTCACGCTTCCTGAAAGATTCATTTCCATGGAGAGAACTTTCTCTGCATAGCACCCTTGTCATTCAGACTAGGAAACACAGACCACCTCTGATCTGGCTTCTCAAAGCCTTACTCAGAGCCAATGCCTGGCTATAAACCCCTGGCTGAGACAGCCTGCTGGCTTTGACCACCACTATGCAAGCACATCGGGAGGGGAGTCTGAGAGATGTTGAGGGAGGTCAGGGCCCTACCCACAGCACAGGAGGCAGACAGTCCCTGAGGTGGGGAAGGAAGAAATCCAGGTGCAGGTTCCACTGACCTTTAGTGCCTGGTTGAAGTCAGAAGGAAAGAGCACCCAGTAACGCCAGTCTCGTGCACACAGCCATGGTGGTGTCAGCTGCTATCTTGTGCAACCTCAACTACTCACACTGAACCTGACCCCCCAGCACAAATCAGTCTCTTCTGTGTGTGATTTTCTCATGAGCAGTTGCTCTGACCTGGAATAAAGCACACAGAGCAGAGAGATGCACCTGTGAACAGGGGCAGCAGCCTTTCCCTCTTCAGCTTCTTCCAGTGGAGACCCGGACACTGGAGGGGCCACAGGTCTTGCTGTGGGTCCTTCAGAGAACCCCAGGGACATAGCTTCCATTTGAGAATCAGAGGAACTAAAAGCCTTCTATATTTTCTACTGCGAGTTCAGATTCCCACGAGGATTATGAGATATTCTGCCTAGTTATCTTCTCCCTACAGGAAAAGAAAAACTCTCTGCTTTTCTCTTTGGAAGAAAGTGAAGATCGAGTCTGACTGTCCTTGGGGGAAGAAAGCTGGGGACCAGGCAGGGCAGTTGTTAGTGCTGTGCTGTTTCTACATGAACCTGCAGGAATTTCAGGGCTTTTAACCCTGAGACAGACACCATGAATGATGGCAGCCATTCTCTTGAAATGATTAGCATTATGAATGTCTGCTTCTCTAGATCTTGTAGAGGGTGGGATACTGTGGAACCTGTTAGGGTGACTCTGAGAGAGAATAGGCCCCCCCAAGCCAGGACATGTCCCTGTCTGCACTAAGGCATCATAGGTACAAATGAGGAAGGATTAGAACATCCATGAGCAACAACTACTGAGTCCTTCTTATGTTTCAGAAAAGGTGCCAAATACCTTACAGTGACCACACAGTTCAGTCTCATTATCATTTTCACTTTGAAGATGTGGAGCTCGAAGTGTGAACACACTGTCATGAGTCCTCTGAGTGTGGCCCAGGGACCACAGAGAATCTCTGAGGACCTTTCCAAGGCTCTACCGGGTATGAACTGTTTTCACAACAATGCTCAGACACTTTGCCTTCTTCATTTTCACTCTCTCAGGAGTGCACAGGGGGGCTTTCTGGAGGCAACATGACATTCGATGAGGCGGCAGAGAGAACACAGAAGATGTCAACCCAGCTCTTCTCGGCTCAGCCAACACCTAAAAATTTTTCAGAACCGTAAAACACAGCTAATCTTATCAGCTGTGACAACTTCAGTTGTGTGAAACACAGCTAGAAAACTTCTATTTGGGAGAACTTTCTGAGTTTTCCCTTCATCTGGACCTCACCTGTAGCACCCTGCACAAGGCGTCCTTCACCTGAGCATTCCTCAGGCTGTAGATGAGGGGTTCAGGATTGGGTTAATGAGACTGTAAAACAGAGACACAATTTTCTCCTTCTCCTCTCGTTGACTGGAGTCAGGGACCATATAAACCACCATGGCTATGCCAAAGAAGGGCCCGACCACACAGATGTTGGAGGACCAGGTGGAGAAGGCCGTCCTGCGGCCCTTCCCAGACAGGATCTTCAGGATAGCCTGGAGGATGTGTGTGTAGGAGACCAGCACCAAGCAGAGGGGCCCGACTAAGAGAAACACACAGGCAGCAAAAATGACAAAGTGGTTGAGCCCAGTGTCACCATAGGCCTGCTTGAGTATTGTAGACTGCTCTGCCTGGTTTCAGGAATTGTATCTCTATCCCTTGTGGCTAAGGGCAAGGGAGGACCATTGGAATGGGAGCCACAGGAGACAAAGCTGGTCTCTGGTAGCAAACGCTGCCTCAGTTTCCTCTTTCTGCCCCCAAAGCTTGGTCGGAAGTCAATGATGGGTAAGACCCCTCACAACGGGGGGCAACCTAAGCCAGAGTCATTCACTTGGGAGGCCTTCATGGAAGGACTCAGGGGGCTGCAACAGAGAGCAATAAACTCTCACCCCCCAGCTTTGTCTAAGCCCAAGTCCCCATGTTCTTTGGGAGAAGTACTTCCCGGTTCTAATCCCCTTAAGCCTGAATACCTGATGGGGAGAGGTGCAGCTCCTTGCTTTCTAGAGCGTGCCCTGAGGAAATATCTGGCATCACAAAGACCTGCTGATAAACCTGTGAAATCTGCTCTGCTAAGAGTGCTTTCATTCATATGATAGGGTCTGAGAGGAAATAAGTATGTCTCCAAAAGTTTCTGCAACTCTCTTCCTGACAGACACTGACTCATAGTAAGCCCTCAGATTTCTTTGAAATGTTATCTACTGTTTGATCCTTGCTGCCCTGTATTCCTGTGTATTACAACCCAATAAAAGGCTATAGAAGAGGGCACTCAGGGCCTTTTTCTCCTCGGAGAAACTGGCCACAGCTCACTTCTCCTCCCGAAACAGATCACATCATATCTCGGTAATAATTACTCTCTATCCATAGCACTAGGGGGACTTGTGAGAGAAGTCACTCCCACACTTGAGGACAGACAGGATCTCACAGAAGAAGTGGTTGACTTCAAGAGGCCCACAGAAGGGCAGCCTCAGGATGAGAACTAAATGGACCAGAGCCAGGAGGGAGCTAATCACCCAGGATGTGACAGCCAGGACCATGCACTCTCTCCAGCTCATGGTGACAGAGTAATGGAGGGATGGCAGATGGCCACCTATTGATCATAGGACATCACCACCAAAATCAGGCACTCTGTGTGAGCAAAGGTTAGATACAAATAATTCTGTGTAAGGCATTTACAAAGGAGATGGCTCTATTCTGGCTAAGTTTGCCAGCATCCTGGGGACATTGTTGGAAGCATAAGACATGTTGATGATGGCCAGGTGGGAGAGGAAGAAGGACATGGGGCTGCGCAGTCTACAATCTGAGCAGACAAGGCGCAGGATGACACCATTCCCCAGAAGGGTGAGGGCATACAACAGAGAGAGGAGTCCAAAGAGTACAAACTCCAGTGCTGACTCCACCTGGAGTCAGGATGACACCATTCCCCAGCAGGGTGACTTCCCTGATCCACTTGAGGTTGAACGCCTGGCCCTGTCTGTCCTCCAATTTACGTGATTTGTGAAACAGGACAAAGGAAGTGGGGACGTGACTTTTCTGCTCCAGTTTTTGGTCCCGTACATTTCTGCTGCCTCAGAGTAAAGCCTACAGAACACATTTTGTCCTGCTGGAGCGTGGGAGCGAGCCGAAGGCTGAAATTTGGAGAGAAGTTTTGTCAAAGACACAATCCATGTTTCCCCAATAAGCCTCATTAAAAACTGATTTTCATTTCTACTTGATATTCTGTGTCTATTTCTGACTTTATTTCTTCAGACTGGGAACAAGATGACAACATGGTTAAGGACCGCCCCTAAATCACCAGGAGTAAAAAAATCAGGAAAGCACTTGTTGAGACTAAAAAGCACTAGGACAGAAATAAACAGGCTGAAATGACGGGAAGTGACTTGGTTCTAGACCGCTTCCTTAGGTGGGATTGTCAGCAACAGTCTCCCCAAAGAGAAGACACATAGGCAGAATCTGAAAATCGTAGGGTTGCCCACCTGCCTCCAGCCCAGGTGGGCGCTGCTCTGCCAACTGAGCAGCAGAGGTGCATCCCCCAGGCAGGGGGGACTTGGGGAGTCCGGAAACAGAAAGGAATCCAGGGGACCTGACCCCAGTGACCAAGGTTTATATACTTGTTGAAATGGATGTAAAAATTAGTAAGTTGGAGATATATTGAAATATTTGGCGACCAGGCAGCCACTGAAAATGACAACTTTGGAACAGCAGGATAATATAACACTCCTTATACAGTGAAATAAAAAAATTTCCACAGAAAGTCAAAGCATGGATGTACAATGTGATCTGATTTGTATTTTATAACATGGACGTTTTTATTCAATGTCCTGTGTGCGTCTTTACAGATATCTGGGAAAATTTTATAAATTAAACGTGAAACTGTTGATGCTATCTCTAGAAAGGAGTATCATGCAGGGATTTACCTTTCATATAAATTGTTTATTTATTTCTTCCCTTATAATAAACCCTGGGCATTAATGGGAAAAATGAGACATTTCCACTTGGGAAAAGGCCATGCTGGGACCTGGAACTGAAGTTGCATGTCATCGCTGCTCATTGGACAGTGACCCTCACTGAGCTGGCCCAGGAATGTGACAATGGGGGCAGGTTTTCTCAGAGCTTCCAGTGGGAGAACTAAGTCACTGCATTCGACAGGAAAGGGGCATTCAAAACCCTACCCCACTGTTCACCATACTATTATTTCCTGAACTGTACTGATAGAGAAAAAGATCAAACTCTTCTATTGACTGAAATAGGTAAAGGAGAATCACCCTGGACAGTGTGGCTCAAGGGCTGGACGTTGTTCCAGGAAGCAAAAGGTCAGCGGTTTGATTCCTGGTCAGGGCACATGCCTGGGTTGCTGATTTGGTCCCCAGTTGAAGTCCCTGGTCAGGGCACATAGTTGAGGCAGCCAATCGATGTTTCTCTCTCACATTGATGCTTCTCTTCCTCTCTTTCTCCCTCTCTTCCCCTCTATCTAAAAATAAGGAAATAAATTCATTTAAAAAGACTAAGAAAGGATCTAAAGTCAGGTGGAAGGTTACCATCACACCCACCTGGATGAGGGTAGCTCTGTAGCCAGATCACATTCTGCATGGGCGGCTGGCTGATTCCACCTCTCTGACACTGTCATAGCCAAGTCAAGAGCTGCTGGCCACATAAGGACAATGAGGAGGGTCCTAGAGGGTCAGAGACATCAGGGCCACACCATGGGCAGAGGGAGCAGTCCCTAGTGATTTCCTCAGGTCCCTGGTAATGGAGATAGGCCTAGGACCACACAGGCAAGGCGTTTTGGCACCAACACTTAAAGCCAGTCATTTCATTCACCCCCTTTCCCATCTCCCACCTGCAAAACCGTCCTCAGGGCTAATGAGCATTCGTTACTTACAGTGCTATAATCTATGTTCTGTTCTCCAAATATGGCCTTGGACTTACAGGAAATCTCACAGAAGGGGGAAAGAAACTGGATCGAGTCTCTTCTCTGAAGGGGACTCCCCGGGAGTGAAGCCCAGACCCAGCTCTCAGCAGAGAACTTGATGATTGACTTGCTTTTGCCAGCAAAGGCCTTTTCTATCTTCACCTGAACCCACCTCCCTCCCCACAGATGTAGACAATGATTCTGGGACAGACCCTGGGGATTTATGTCCACTCAC